AAAAAAAAAAAAAAAAAAAAAAAAAAAAAAAAAAAAAAAAAAAAAAAAAAAAAAAAAAAAAAAAAAAAAAAAGAGGCTACAGGTCCATAATAAGGTATACGTACATCATCTAAGAGCAAACCCTTGACAAAATGGCGACGTAGATGTTGGTAGTCAAAATTGTCAGTAAACAGGCTGAGTACTTCTGGGGAGCATATGTCTATATAACAATCCTGCATAACATAAACATGATTTAGTCTTGCCTTTCTTTTGACATGATGCCATTCCTGCATTTATCAATTACTAACAAGATATACAAAGCTAGGAGCCAGATGCACAATAATTCCTATTGTAACTGTCGGTGTCCAACACATTCTGAAATGTGAAGATGTGTCTGATTTTTAAAAAGTGTTCCAACACACTCGAGACATGTTTTTATAAGCTTTAGACCCTTCAATGCAAAATGCAACAAAAGCCTATCGTGAAAAGACTAATTGGAGAATTTGTAATATCCCCTGTCCCTATCTCGTGTTTGGACCACATGACCTCTTCATGTTACATTTTTTGTTAGCAATGCAATTTGCTTCTTATCATGAAAAATTATAACTCAAGATGTAACATTAACAACAAAAATAAACAAGATAAGCACTTGAAGTTAAATTAAATAACCTGCAAGTCGTTATGAAGTGATATGGAAGGATTATCCATTAGCAATGACTTGTCCAGATGTATAATTCCTTTTGAATCGTCAGCCCTATCCTCATAGTATAAGAGCTGCTTAGAATTATGATCAATTGCCATAAACAGTTCATCAGTGCCAAGCCGAGATTGGTGTGTGATTGGAGAAGGCTTTGACCGTTTGACAACCATAGTCATCACGGCATTACTATCTTTCTTCTTTCTATCTTTGTGTTCTTGAAGAGCTTGCGTAAGTGGCATGTTGCTTATGGTGTCTCCAGTGATAAGTACAAAATCACCATGTATCTTCAAAAGGGTAAATTTAGAGGTATTATAAGACACCTGAGTGAAACAACCTATACAAACTGGATGGCACAATGAATCACTCAAAGGTTATGAAAGTGCAAAGCCACTCATTATGGCAGTTTTTTGGCACTGTAAATCAAATTTATAATGTAGTGTGGTAAATGAAAAAGTGACAGTAGAAAGTTTATTTTTCTCTTTAGAAATTTGCCCTCTTGAATGTCTTACAGCATTAAGGTAGAGGTGCCACCATACATACATCACTTTTTAACATTATATACACTAACAAAAACTTCCTTTTCTTATAACAAAAAAGTCAATATATGAATATCCTTTTTCTATGAGAAAAACACTAATGTGTAAACAATTATTTTCTTTTCAAACAAGACAGTCAGTGTTGCCAAAAATAAAGTTTAACACTTGAAAACAAATTCACAAAATTACAAACCATGCATCAGTTGGTTAAACTTCAAATTGAAGCCATATGCTGTTCAAACTTAAACTGAATGGACCGCTCCTCATGATACAGATATCTAAGGAAAGAAATGATATTTGAGAGTGGAACAAAATGTATCAAAAGCTCAAAATCCATAAATATATAAATGTGAGTGAATATTTGGATTTGGGAATGGATAAAAATGCATCAATCAAAATCCATTTCATGTGTCAGGATTTAGTTCTTATAGAGAAGCGGGTATTAAAAATAGTCCCATAGATCAGTTCCAGACATGCGTACCACATTTCTTTCATAGATCAAACGCAGGGCGTCTCCAGCACTAATGGAGTTGTGCGACTCTATAGTTGTGACTGCAAAGTCTGGTAGGGATACCCACTCAGAGTTCTCCAAGTAATCAATTACTTGCTTCGAGTTAGCACAGCAAAATACAAACACCTCTTCAACACCAGCCGATTCGAGCCAGGATAAGGCATAATTAATCATAGGGACATTTACCAGCGGCAGTAATACCTATAGATATTAAAAAAAGGGAAATATTAATGGAACAAGAAGCATCATACAAGTTTTCAATGCTTCAAAAACGTTGTAACTTATTTAAGTTCTTCATACGTGATCTCTATGCAATCAGCTTGTAGCAAAGTGCCTATACAAAATGAAGCAAACGAAATAATAGATAATTGGCATAGCTAAGCTTCTAGTTTTGAAGTTTTAAGTTGTATTAACTGCTACCAAATGATGAAGTTCGCATATAATAACTTGTGTAGCAAGTAAACATATAGCTGTGACAACTTGAATTGCACGAAGCTTGATATTTTACAACAGGATTTTATTTTATTTTGTAACAGCCCGCGAATGAAGTTTCCAAACTAGTATCGAACTATTAGCTAAATTTTGAACACAGAGAAAGAAATACGCACGAACTATAATTCCGAAGAAACATTTCCGATTATCTGGAAAATACCTTGGGTCGTTCAAGCGTTATGGGACGAAACTTAGTGGTAAAGCTATCGGCAAGAAGAACTGCCTGCAACGAAACTCGTGCCAACTCCTCGGAGTCCTCGGAAACCCGCGATGCCCCCTTTCTCTGAGCACCCATTTCTTCGTTTTTCTCGAAGAATAAAAACACTATGCAATAAGATTGATGTGCAGAGCAGCAGCACTGCGACGATTAGCAGTTTCGAATGGCCGATTAAATGGAATTGAGACCCGGTTGGATGAACGGAAAAAAGCCTAATCAAAACCTCTAGGAATTAATGAGGAAGACGAAAGCCTGAGAATCTTGGTGTTTTTTTTCCCTCTTCGTGAGCTGGGAATAAGCTCAGAGCTTCAAGATGGTATCTAATGGCGTCTTTACAAAAGTTCTGATAACAAAAAGGAGTTTGCAGTGGAATATAATTATAATATGTTATTCTGAAAAAGTAAAAGAATCTTTCCTATTTGCTCAATCATCATCCTTCTATTTGTTTTACTTAAAAAAAAAATAAAAAATAAAAAATACATCATTTCATACCTCCCTTAATCGAGGCTTGACTCCCTTCGAACAAAGTACACCCTTTGTTCGATCGAGGCTCGACTCCTTCCATTGGAGTCGGCTCACAATACCTTGTTCAATATTTAAAGATTCTATTAAGTTTAGAACATGACTCTGATACCATGTTAGATGAACACAATTCTTCCACAATCGTATGATATTGTACACTTTGAGTACAAGCTCTCATGACTTTGCTTTGTATTTCTCCAAAAAGCTTCAAACGGATGGAAATAGTATTCATTGACTATGAACCCATGATCATTCCCCAAATTAGCCGATTTGGGACTTTCATCCAATATAACCTTGAATTTGAATCATTACATCGTTCTAAGTTTGTAACATCTAAACAAAAGAGAAGTACATGAACGAACCAAAAACCATAAAATAAGATGTCTATGAAGGTTACTAGTTATACCAACAAGATGCACCCTCATTTTCAATGGTTCGATAATATGAATTTTCATAGTTTATGTATGTTTTGCTTAGAACAATTATAGGTTCGGTGACCTCTTGAGAAGTTTCTGAGAATGTCATGTGAGTGAGGACAAAGACATGGTGAAAAAACTAATGATAGTTTGCAGGAATAGTCTCTACTCTTAGAAGTAAGGAGTAAGTAAGGTGACCATGTTGTAAGGGTCGTAGGGAATTTGAAGTAATTTGTATCTTAAAAAATAAATTTGCTTTATTTTATTTTTTTTTAATCGAACAAAATAGAAATTGAACGTTTAATAAAAAGAAAAGAAAATAAAATAAAAATTCAATAAGATGTTATGAGTGTCATGATAGGAGAAGGAAACTCAGGGGAGCGCTCATGTGCAGCTTCTGGTGATTGGGCTTAGTCGATTTTCCCCAATAATCAGTTATCTAGAACAAACCCTAGAAATCTCTCAAATCACTTCATCTTTATCTTCAGATTCTCTTGATTCATTTTATTGTGCTGTTTCTCTCGAATTCGACGATGGTTGCTTCCACGGCTAATGGCGACGATGGATTGAAGAAGCTCGAGTACTTATCCCTCGTCTCCAAGGTATGTTCTGAGCTCGAAACTCATTTAGGGTTCGGAGATAAAGTACTTGCTGAGTTCATAACTGAGATGGGCCGGAGATGTGAGACGGTGGACGAGTTCGATTCCAAATTGAAGGAGAACGGTGCCGAAATGCCCGATTACTTTGTTCGCTCGCTCCTGAGGATCATTCACCTTATTCTTCCTCCGCAGAAGGATGACAATGAGAAGGAGTTCAAGAAGGAGAAGGAATCAGATGGGAAAAAAGGCAAGTTTAGGGCCTTGGCGATCGGGGATGATAAGGAGAGAGCTAAGGAGCTCGTGAAGGAAATTGAGTTGGAGGCTCACCAGAAGCGTGGGGACAGAGACGTACAGGATGATCGATACAAGGGGAGGGCAGGGGACCGAGGAAGAGACAGAGACAGAGACAGGGATAGGGATAGGGATAGGGATCGAGATGGTGACAGAAATAGAAATAGAGATAGAGATAGAGATAGAGATAGAGATGGGTACAGGGATCGGGATTGGGATCGAGACAAGGATAGAGATAGGCGCAGGGATAGATATGAAAGGGATGAGAGACATGGTGGTAGGGATCGTGGTGATGATGGTGGTGATGATTATCAGAGAAGTGGAAGGCCAAGGGATCGGAATAAGAGGAATGGGTATGAAGAAAATGAAGGTTACACAGGGGATGCAAGAGATGGTAATGGCAATTGGAGAGATGATAGGGACAAGCATACACAAAATGGGCGACACCTCCCTGTCGATCACGAACCTGAATTGTACAAGGTCTACAAGGGTAGAGTTTCTAGAGTGATGGACACGGGTTGCTTTGTCCAGATAAATGATTTCAGAGGCAAGGAGGGTCTGGTTCACGTTTCTCAGATGGCTACTCGAAGGATTACCAATGCCAAGGATGTTGTAAAGCGAGATCAAGAGGTTTATGTCAAGGTTATTTCAGTTTCAGGGCAAAAGTTGAGCCTTTCTATGAGGGACGTGGATCAACATTCTGGTAAGGATTTGCTTCCGCTGAAGAAAAAAGATGCCGACGATGGTCCTAGAATGAATCCTTCAAATACGAAGGATGATGGCCCAGTGGTTAGGACTGGCCTTTCTGGAATTAAGATTGTGGAAGATGATGTTACTATTCCTTCACGCAGACCTTTGAAGAGAATGAGCTCACCTGAGAGATGGGAAGCCAAACAACTGATTGCTTCTGGTGTTTTAAGTGTAAACGACTATCCTTCATATGATGATGAGGGAGATGGGCTATTATATCAAGAAGAGGGTGCTGAAGAGGAGCTTGAGATTGAGTTGAATGAAGACGAGCCTGAATTTCTGCAAGGCCAGAGTAGATACTCAATTGACATGTCGCCAGTTAAGATATTCAAAAATCCGGAAGGGTCTCTGAGCCGGGCAGCTGCACTTCAATCTGCACTGATTAAGGAGCGCAGGGAAGTTCGTGAGCAGCAGCAAAGGACCATGCTCGATTCAATTCCGAAGGATCTTAATCGACCTTGGGAAGACCCTATGCCAGAGACTGGTGAGAGGCATCTTGCACAGGAGCTCAGGGGCGTTGGCTTGTCGGCCTATGATATGCCTGAGTGGAAGAAGGATGCTTATGGAAAAGATATTAGTTTCGGGCAGAAATCGAAGCTCTCTATCCAGGAACAGAGGCAAAGCTTACCCATTTACAAGCTGAAGAAAGAACTTATTCAGGCCGTTCATGATAATCAGGTACTTGTTGTCATTGGTGAGACTGGTTCAGGTAAGACAACCCAGGTAACTCAGTATCTTGCTGAAGCTGGATACACAACCTCCGGTAAAATTGGGTGCACTCAACCACGTAGGGTGGCTGCAATGTCTGTCGCGAAGAGGGTTGCTGAAGAGTTTGGATGTCGCTTAGGAGAGGAAGTTGGGTATGCAATTCGTTTTGAGGATTGCACTGGACCTGATACTGTGATCAAGTATATGACTGATGGTATGCTTCTTAGGGAGATTTTGATTGATGATAACTTGTCACAGTACTCGGTAGTTATGCTTGATGAAGCTCACGAGAGAACAATCTTCACTGATGTTCTTTTTGGATTGCTGAAGCAACTTGTGAAAAGGAGACCTGATCTTCGACTGATTGTCACATCTGCTACTTTAGATGCCGAAAAATTTTCAGGATATTTCTTTAATTGTAATATTTTTACAATTCCTGGGCGAACTTTCCCTGTGGAGATCCTCTATACTAAGCAGCCAGAAACTGATTATCTTGATGCTGCTTTAATCACAGTCTTGCAGATCCATTTGACAGAGCCTGAAGGTGACGTACTTCTTTTCTTGACTGGCCAGGAGGAGATTGATTTTGCATGTCAGTCTCTATACGAGAGAATGAAAGGACTCGGTAAAAATGTTCCCGAGTTAATTATTCTACCAGTCTACAGTGCCTTGCCCAGTGAAATGCAGTCCAGGATTTTTGAACCAGCTCCTCCTGGTAAGAGGAAAGTTGTAGTGGCGACTAACATTGCTGAGGCTTCATTGACAATAGATGGAATCTTTTATGTTATTGATCCTGGGTTTGCTAAACAGAATGTATATAACCCAAAGCAAGGGCTTGATTCTCTTGTTATCACACCAATTTCACAAGCATCAGCCAAACAACGTGCGGGGCGTGCTGGGCGAACAGGACCTGGAAAATGTTACCGCCTCTATACTGAGAGTGCTTATCGCAACGAGATGTCTCCTACAACAATACCAGAAATCCAGAGAATCAATCTTGGTCATACTACTCTTACTATGAAAGCCATGGGGATAAATGATCTCCTATCATTTGATTTTATGGATCCACCTTCACCCCAAGCACTAATTTCAGCAATGGAACAACTTTACAGTCTAGGAGCACTGGACGAAGAAGGACTTCTGACTAAGTTGGGTAGAAAAATGGCCGAATTTCCTTTAGATCCACCTTTGTCTAAGATGCTGCTAGCTAGTGTGGATCTTGGATGTAGTGATGAGATTTTGACCATAATTGCAATGATTCAGACTGGAAATATCTTTTACAGGCCAAGGGAAAAACAAGCCCAGGCTGATCAGAAAAGGGCCAAGTTTTTCCAGCCAGAGGGAGATCATCTTACTTTGCTTGCAGTTTATGAGGCGTGGAAAGCCAAAAACTTTTCAGGCCCTTGGTGTTTTGAAAACTTTGTTCAATCTCGATCCTTGAGGAGAGCACAGGATGTGAGGAAACAACTTCTTTCAATTATGGACAAGTAGGACCTTCTAGTCTCCTCTTGATATTGTTTTTGTTAAATTTTTGTCTTCAGCTACGATTATCTATTGTTGTCTTGTCTTGCATGCACGCATTTGCTTTTCCTCTATTTTGTTTAAACATATAGTTTACATCTACAGCGTAGAGATGGTTGCTCTAGGGTGGATAAGGTGCTTTTGAGGTCTTCCTTTTGGCACACTAGTTCCTCTACTGTTTTGTGGGATATTTGGCTTATGAGGAATAAGGATTTAGAGAGTTAGAAAGATCGTGTGAGGAGGTATAGGAAGCTGTTAGGTTTAATGATTTTATTTGGGTATTGGTTGCACGACCTTTTTGTGATTATGGACCAAGTCTTATTTATTGGATTGGAGTCATTTTCTTTAGTGTAGGTTTGGACCCCCCTTTAGTTGGGCTTTGTACATTCTTTAAAAACAAACAGATAGTTAACATGTAGGAATGGACTCTAGTACACTCTGAACAGAATCAGGCTGAACTTGCAGACTTCTTATCCTGGGTGAGGAAACTTGGGCATCTTCTTGTTAAAGAATTTGGAAAGCGTGGCTGAATGAACTTTGGTGAGATGCA